CAAAATATATATTTTCTGTAACGATTGTTGAAACTCTCAGTTTCAGAGGGTTGGAAAGGTTTTATTGCTTAATTGAAAAGTAAGTGTAAAGTAAGTGAAAAGTAATATTCCAGCTAGAGGGCTTCCCAGTGGATAGCACTGCCGCCTTGCAGCAAGAAGGTTCCAGATTTGATTCCCGGCTTGGGGTCTTTCTGCATGGAGTGTTCTCCCTGTGCATACATGCGTTTCTTTCCGGGTACTCCAGCTTCCTCCCACACTCCAAAGACTTGACTGTTAGGTTAATTGGCTCCTCTAAATTCTCCTTAGGTGTCAATGGTTGTTTGTATCAGTGTTGCCTTAAAATTCTGAGTAAAATGCTGTTTGTGCCTATGAAAAACAAGTACATTTTACTTAATTTGCTTAAATAAATCTAACTTTTTCAGCACAACTATGTCCACATCGTTGTAGATTTTGTTAAAAAAAACTTACAACTACAAGGAAATCATGGTATTTTTACTGAAGGAGATATTATTAGAATCTCAAATAGACCCATGCCTAATCTAGACCTTTAATTAAAGAACTAAAACTGTGATATGTTGAACTCATGAGATCTATATAACATCTAGCACTGATTACTTCCTATTGGTTCCTATTCATACAGTTATATCAAATCTATTCAAAATAATTAATCAGAAGCATATAAAGTGGGTCATACCATTTCTGAAACTGTTGTTGCCTTGACATTTTAGTCTTGTCAATCAAATTTACTGCAAGATGACCCATGAACCATCATTTTCAAAAGCTGTTCAAAAGTGAAACATAAACACAAGTTTTCTCTTTAGTATTTATTAATAATAAAAATGAGTAAGATTGAATGGAGTGATTCGCTGACATTTAGGCGACTGGAAATAATAATTAGGATGAAGCATTAAGTTCTTTATCATAACTTTATAATATGCGCTACATACTATACCTGTGATCTGACTATTAAATTGCATTGCTGTAGTTAATGAATTCAAAACATCATCAACAGTTAAGGTTGAACTTATTTTTTTTATTATTTTTTATTACCCATCTTTATGTTATATATTGGATATATCAAAGTTTAATTTCACATGTCAATAACTGTTGACTATTAAAATTTTTAAAAATGGTCTTTGGATAAACATAAATACAAGTCACAAGAAACAAATGCAGAAACAGGTAATACACCTGTTAATACTGAATGTTAAGATAAATTAAACTGAAAATATTTTTATAAATTGATTATTACTGTTGATCCCAACTGTTTTTTTTAATTATGTTAGCTTAACAGAGAAAGAACAGGATGTCAGAGGGACATTTTTGAAATTATCAGCATAGCTGATAGTTTGTCAGACATCTGTGTAGCCATTATTATGAGTCTACAGCTAGCATGAACAAGTTAAGAGCCACTAACAGCCTGGGGTCTGCAAACATCCTTTGTAAACAAAGCAAAACACTTTTTTTGTTTTGTTTTTACTGAAAAACATGCACATCTCTGTCCGAGCTGCAGTCTGTGGCTAGCTTACCTTAGATTTTTTTTTCTCAATGGAAGCATTTAATTAAAAAAGACAAACTTGGAAGAGGCTATTTACTCCTTTTACTGGCACATGGTGATGAAGAACCTCATAGAGAAGCCATGCTTATTCTGCCTGTTGTTACCTTGACAACCTGTCATTTGTATACACAATGAAACACAGAGGGGGGGGACATTAATCATTCACTCCAGCCACTATCTAAACCTTCTGGATTTATTCACCCCTGATTATTAGGAATATGTAAAATAAAAATAAAAATTGCTCCTGAGACTTTGTAGTCCCAGACGGTTTAGTCAAGTTTGAATCTGTTCAAAATGAATCAAAGTTAAGCCTTAGGTCTTTATGGGCATAAGTCTCTAGTCTGATTGTTTGATTATTAGTTTAAAAATTTGTTACTTTAAATTGCAAGAAATTACCTCTCAGCATATTTAAATGTCTCTAAATAAAAAGCTTAACAGCTGTGCTGTTTGTTCTGACCAAATGCTATTTGTTATGATCTTTATCATGCTGCTTTGGATTTTTTAATGAAGTACCATTTGATTTGGGGGTCTGTTGTTTCTTATGTGTTAAAAATTTATTATTTTCAAGATATTTCCTTCCAGAACACTTTTTAGGTGATATCAATTGCAAAGATTAATCTTTGGTTTATGGTCTATGAACTGCTGCTATATATGAATCTTTGTAATCTACAAACACTTTATTAAGTACGCCTGTTTAATTAGGTGTTAAGACGAACAGTAAACGAATCAATAACATAGCAGCCATTTGATGCATTCAGGCATCAAGATGTGGTAACGATAACTTGTTTCAACTAAGCACCCAAATGAGGAAGAAATGGGTTTTAAGTAACTGCGGATGTTTATTGGCTATGGGTGCTGGACAGGCTGATCTGAGGGTTTCAGAAACTGTTAAAACTTTGGAAATGTTCAGGTATATCATCTCTCAGGTACAAAAAAATAGAAAATATCCAGTCAGCATCAGTAGTGTGCATGAAAAGGCCTTGTTGATATCAGAGAAGGATGGGTAGGCTTGTTTAAGATGATAAAAAAGGCAACAGCAGCTAAAATAACCACTGGATTTAACCATGATATGTAGAATGCCATCAGTAATATGAAACTAAAAGCCCCAAACATTACTAAAAACAGGAAATTAAACGATCTGGAAAAATGCTGTTTGGTCCACTGAATATGAAATAGTAGACAGATGTTTAAGTATTTGGTTTGAAAAACACAAAAGCATATATTCAACAACTCCTCATAATGTGGTGGTACAATAGTGTTTGGGGTATTTTATGGCACATTTTGGATACCAAAAAGGAAGCATTAAAGCATAACAGAACACCTTGTTATTATCGTTGTCCATGTTCACCCTCTTATGCCTGCTACATACCCATCTTTTGATGGCTGATTCTTGGAGGACAATGTACTTTTGGGGGTTCACTGCACTCCTATTGTCTCCACAATTACCAGTTTTAAACCCATCAGAGCATTGAATTGTGGACATGAAGCTGAAAAAAATGTGCTGCATTTAAACCTCTGAGGGATTTTTGCAACACCTTTAATCTTTGCATGGAAGAATTGGAGCAGATCTGGTAGAATGAAAGGGTGAGATAACGTAATGGTAAGGTGTACCTAATAAAGTGGCCGGTTTATTGTATGATTGACTCAGAATCAGAAAACTTGATAAAAATGGCTGTTATGTTTTAGATTACTATCTATTAGGACTGTGTTGTAAAGTTCCTGTCCTATGGAAGTCGATTAGGGCCACTGAAAAAAATAACAAAAAAAGTTAACTGTTTTTTTTGTGTGTTTTTTTTTCAGTATAATATGAGAAAAAAATCTGAATTCTGACTTTTTTCTCTTAGAATTCTCACTTTAATCTCAGAATGCTCACTGAATTCTGACAGGTAACAAACATTTTAGCATCAAGCCATAGCCATGTCTGTTTTAGAGACTAAACTAGCTCTCTTGTTTTAATCACCTTCTGCTCTTCCATTAATGAAATAGCATCACCAGGGATCCCTCGGGCATGAAAAAAATCACCTAATTCTGTCATTTTCCACCAATGTGTTACTGGCCCTCCCAAACAGCTCACATCTTTGACAGTGAAGCTGAGTGCTCCCGTCTCTTCCTTCATGGTGCCCAACTACATTAAGATCCAAAATTCTGAGATTAGAGTCAGAATTCTGAGATTAAAGTCAGAATTCTGAGATTAAAGTCAGAATTCTGGGATTAAAGTCAGAATTCTGGGAATAAAGTCAAAAATCTGAGAAAAAAAGCAAAACTCTGAGATTAAAGTAAAAACATCTGAGAAAAATAGTCAGAATTTTGAGATTAAAGTCAGAATTCTGAGAAAAAAGTCAGAATTCTGAGATTAAAGTCAGGATTCTGACTTTTTTTCCCATATTAAACTGAAATAATATTTAAAAATCAGTGGCCCTAATCCTCTTCCGTACTTTCCAGATTCTGAGTCTTAACTAGTTTTTTGCCCTGATGAGTGAGCCTGTTATGAAGTGTCAGCTACTCACCCATCAGTCCTGAATGAGTTTCCGTGACTGACGTCAGCGCACGCGCAGGTGCTAGGTTTGCAGCTTCTATTTAACAGAGGTAGTGGTTGTTGGAAGGGGGGAAAGTATTGTTTGGTTTATTGCAGGTTGTGGTTGTGAATCATTTGCGACAGACGCCGAACCACCGAACACGGCAATCCTTTTTTTTCTTTTTCAGGCGGACTATGCGTGTACGCGCGTCCACGCGCTGAGCTCCCGATCGACTGACGCGCGCGCACACGCACGAACGCAGAGGAGGCTAGAAAGCCCGGTGGCAATAATTCGATTCAAGGCTTCATTCTTTGTCCATAACCTGCTGCTGGGTCTCCTTTCCCACCGATTAGGGCTGCGGACGCGCACACAGAAAAGTTAGAGGATTTATTTAAAGCCACTTTGCGATGCTGCTATTTATCTATTGTGGTGGCGGAAAAAATAAAGCAATTACTGCAAAACTTTCAAATGATGCCGGGATGTAGAAAACAAAAGATAAATGTAGAGAAAAGTCTTTACGCGCGGATGGAGTAGCTGTTTCAGTGAGGCTCGTACATGTTTTCAGCAACTTTCATTAAAGCGATGTTCAATTAAGCGAATCCTTACAATAACTGGTCATGTCAACTGATATACATTAAACTACATACCTTAAGAAGCGTCTCTTTATTTACAGTTATGTTTATTTCCCCAGTAGTATTAAATAAGAGAGAATAAACGGGGTTTGATGCTGGTCAAACCTTCCAGGATATATCCAGATAAACCCTGCTTCAACTTCATCCTACACTAACATCACATCCTAACTTTCATCAGACTTCAACATAGTATGATTCCCCCACCAACTCCAACCCCTCCTCCCTCCTTTTTCCATATATCTGCATATTTGCAAACACAGGAGGTTTTATTATTATTATTATTATTATTCGCACCTACCAGAGCAGATTCAAGCAGAGGGAAGGGCTCCCACAGTCCGAGCGGTCCGCGTCTCTCCCTGCCTTGCCTTGGCGAATGGTGACAGGGGGAAAAAAAGGAGAAAGAAAGAAGAGAAGACAGGGAGATAAAAAGCTTCTTTTTCCAAAGAGACAATCCTAACCCGGCGCCTGCTTGATAGTGAAAAACGTGAGGAGAAATAAAATAAAATAAATGTAAGATTGCGCGTTGGTTCAGTGAGGAAAGCGCACTTTCTCAGGGGCTGTGTTGAACGCGTGGGTTCCCCGAGTTCTCTCGGCGCTTGCAATCCCACCTCTACATCCCCGCTTGCAGAGAGGAACATGCAAACACATTTCATAGATTTTTGGAGCCTCGTGGAAAACCCGGAATGGACTTTCAGATAGATCTGTGCGGAATAGAAGTTGATGCAAAATAAACTTAGAACTGTCAGAAATCCTCCCTTTGCATCACTTTACTTCATGTATTCAAACTAGGATATGGAAACTTTACTAATATTATCAATTATTCTATTTAATCATCCTTCTGAATAAAAGAATGTTTATAAATGAGGCGCTGTAAAGTTTTTACATTTGTTTATGACGCATGATCATAAATATTGACAGTAGATTAGACTGCAGATTTGTTCTTAGTGTTTTCCTGTCCCACTTTATAACAAAGAATCAAAAAATATTCATTTTAACCATTATTTTAAGTGTGTGTAATATCATGTTGTCAATGTTCTCTCTGTTTTATATTGAACCCAGCATTTACTTAAAAGAATGAACATGATTTCAGACTCTACCCCACAGATTTTCCTGTTTTGCGTAATTAAAAGGATGTGAAAGATACAGAAACTAAAGGGTGTGCTCAACTGCTTCTGTTTTATTTTACTTCCAGATGTAGTAGTTGGATGTTGGAATAAATGATTATAAACCAACATGTTCTTTTTAGATTTCTCACTTGCAGCACACCATAAGCAGGTTATTTAGGCTGGGTATTTTGGCCAAAGTCCTGAATCGATTTGATTTTGATTCATACAGTTCTAAATCGATTAATTTTGATTCGATCTGTTTTTACAATAATGAAGGTGCTTCAACTGTGTTTCAAAATACTCATGTAATTAATTTTTTCCTGTCATATTAAACATAAAGTGCAAACTGGTAAATGAGCAGTTTAAAGTTGAGATGTGAACAAAACTGTCTCATAAGTGCAAACTTGTTTGTGAAAAGTGAAAAAGTGACGTGACACAGCTGGGACACAGCAGACATGCATGAGCTGCATTATCTTCAATGCACAAACCATATTTGCAGCATTGGCTGTAACAACTACGGGGTGTTTGCTGGTCAGTCCCCGTTTGTGAATGTCTTCAGTCAACCTTTTGGCTATATTTGCAGCTGTCTGGCTTGAAGTAATCTTGTTGGTCTGTTGCACGAGATGCGAGGCGCCACTCATTATCAATGTAGCAGGAATTTACTTTAATATCACATAACCAGCACATTGTCTTTAGCTGTTTTAAATCCAAAATGGTTCCAGACATCAGACTTCAGTTGGGACAGCTTGCTGAGCGACGTGTTACTTGGGTTGACATTTGCACACACCTGCTCATTTGAATGTGAATGTCATTCCTTACACATACATTTTGCAAAAATCTAAAGGAATCCACCCAAAATCGATTAAATCGATTTTTTTTACCCAGCTCTACAGGTTATTACTTTTAACGAAAGAGGCTGTCATTGAGCGTTTGTTCCTCAATATCATGTAATCATGCACAATAAAGTAATATGTTCTTTAGTGTGCATTATTACATTAAAACCCACCTCTTTTCTTTGGCTTTTGACACCATGTAGAGTGTTGATTTTATGTATACACATGATGATTTTATGTATACACATGCATATTTTTATACTGTGCGGGCAGAGATTTTATTTTATTTTATCTTATTTACTTTTATTTATTTTAGTTATTTTATCTTTTTTGTGCAGCACTTTGGAAACCTTGTGTTTATGAAATTGTGCTATATAAATAAAGTGGATTTGATTGGATTAGATATGTTTAAATCTATTTGTCTCTGGGAAAGACTGTAAAAAACTACATCCTGCAAGAACAGCAATAGAATTCTAAACAGAAGGCAGCCATTTTGGATTTTAACCTGCACCTTTATCTTTTCAAATTGGAATTTTTTTTTTTTTTGTAACATTTCCAACTTAGAACTTCAAACATGCAGTGTAAATCAACAACACTCTTTTATTTATTTACTGAAAAAAATGTTAACAAAAAACTAAACAAAAAGCCCAACACCTGTTACTATTTTCAGGTCAGCTATCTTAGAAAAGCTGGTCCAAGGATTTTTGTGCATAGTAATTATATTTCATACTTTGCATGTTTGCGAATATAAAACATATGCAACATCTTTATAATAACAAAGTTGAGTTAAAAGATTTGGTTGCTCAGTGGATCAGTGGGTAGCACTGCTGCCCCGCAGCAAGAAGTTTCTGGTTTGATTCCCTGCCCAGGGCTTTCTGCATGGAATCTGCGTGTTCTCCCGGTGTATGCATGGGTTCTCTCCAGGTACTCCTGCTTCCTTCCAAAAACATGACTGTTAGTTTGTGTTAATTGGCTTCTCTAAATTCTCTTTGTGTGCGTGAATGGTTGTTTGTCTCTGTGTGTCCGGCGACCTTTCCAGTGTGTAACCCCCCCTCTCGCCCATAGAAGGCTGGAGAAAGGCACCAGCACCCCTTGTGGGCTAAGTGTGATGGAAAATTGATGGACGGCTTAACACATTTATCACTTTATCACTTCTGTCTGTGTAGGAAAACAGATATTGCAAAAGTTAAAGTCGATTTCCATTGTGCAGCTATGCAACATTGCCTTTTCCTCATTACCTCCATTTTAAACACATGAAAAAGCAATTTAGTACATATTGTTCTGAAATCATTAAGTATAAATTAATGTTTCTTTAGTAAAGTATTATAGAATTAATGTAGCATATAAATGGTAAAAATTTATTCCTTAACTCATTTCATTAAATATTCTCTCCTGAAAACCTTTTATTATTTCAAGTCCATGTTTATGTTGGATATGATCACAGTTTGAGCCAATTAACTAATAGAATATGGCATATTATGTTACTTGAGAAAACTAGAAAAAGCATAGAACAACCTCCTGAGGATATATATTTATTGGATTTATGAAAACACATTTTGCTACAACAGACTATGAACACTTTTTGGTGATGATTTTAAAACATTTTTCATCAACAAGATATAAAGTTCCCCGTAGTTTGGTACAAAGCGATCCATGTTGGGAACAAAATGTACAATGAAGATAATAATAAAAGTAGAAATGCAATAATCAGCTTTTTTTTCCTGATCCCACCCGATACCTGGGCTGAGCGTATTGGCTGATTTTCGATACCAATCCGGTTCAACTGTTGAATGAATTAACCATATATTTTGCCATGAGAGTGAAGGCTTTAGTCTTGATATAAACAATGTTAAAAAAGTTAACAAATGAACACAGATATATATGTACAGTATACAACAAATAAACAAAAATATAAGTCAGTGTAAAGTGCCCTCAATTGGATCCCTAATATCCAATATAAAATCACCAATATTTGATATTGGAGCTGATATCTAATCAGTGCTTCTTTATAAAAAAAAGAGAAAAAGAAATTATGCACCAGCAGTTACTGTATTGTCCATCTTTATGATGCCTTTTAACCGATCAAAACTCAGTACCTTATATTGTATAAATTCTGAGGTGGGAAAAAATGCTCTGCACACTAAACTGTTTTCTTTTGTCTGCAGAAAAAAATTGGAACCGCCCAATAGGTTACAAAGATAAATAATAATAAATGCACTAATATGCCATTTTCCAATTGTGTTAAAAGGAGAGTGACTAGTTGTCTTTATTTCAGCGGTTTCTTCAAAACCAAATTTGGTTCTTAAATTGCAATGAAGAATACAACAAAACAACTATGACTAACACAAACAGTGAAGCACAAGACTGGATGTGGTTTGGAGATAAGAACAGTTCTTTTAAGGGAAACGGGATCAACTGTAAATCAAAAGGAGGTGATAAAAGTACAGCACCAGAGCTGTCACTCCTCTCCTCCAGCTTTCACAAACACTCCACTCCATTTCTTCCCACTGTCCTGTCTGCTGGCAGGCGGCCAACCCAAGTGTGTGGAAATGACACCGCCAGGGCGGCAGAGATTTTCCTTCATTTCTCTCCTTCCCGATCGCAGACTGGCTGACATTGGCTGGAAAGTGGAGCAGCTCGTCAGGGACAATCAATGCGAATCGATCGAGCTGCGCGGCTGAGGCTTCAGAGCTGGAAAATATCGCGGCAGCTGAAGAGAGAGGGAGAGAGAGACAGAGGGAGAGACAGAGGGAGAGAAAGAGGAGGTAAACTAAACTGTTCCTCTAGCCAACAAACATCCCTGCAAATAAATGCGCGCTGACCCTCATAAACACGACGCTCACTCTGCAAACACAGGAGTCAGAAAGTCACCATGTGCGTAATTACGCACGGGATTTGAGTTCCTGGCGCACTTACTCTGTAGGTTATTTCACGTTATGAACGCATGACAAAAGACTACAATAAAAAAGTTTGACTAAACAATGTGTATGGATCAAGTTTTTTTTGTTTTTGCAGGTGTTCCAAAATTATCAATATATGTTGCAATTACACAAACAACAAATATCAGCCTTCCAGTTCCAGTATCCATGTGATAAATTACATCCTTAGAACTACTTTTTTTTTTCCATATCACTAATTACACACCAGGTATGTAAAATACCTTGAGATCATTGTAGAACTTTTATACTTTTACATTTTAACATACAAATGTCTATAGGGAAGTTCAAATTGTGTTTATTGCATAATTATTTGTCTTTTGAAGCATGACAGAGTATCCAAAATTTGTATTCAAGTACAGCAACAAAAAAAAACAAAACAAAAAATACTCATGCATCAATAACTTAAAACTTATTATGAGTTTAAAAGTACTTGGTAAAAAGACTAAAAACATAACTTATTTTTTAAATTATGTTTTAGATCATATGTTTAAATACAGACAAATCTTAAAAAAATACATTAAATTCTGTATCTTTAAATACTAGTGTAAGAATGATATATATATATATATATATATATATATATATATATATATATATATATATATATATATATATATATATATATATATATATATATATATATATATATATATATATAATTACACATAAAGGGCAAATAAATACATTTCTTGTTTGCTTTTTTCATATTATAAGTTTTTTTTAAACCAATGCCTACAGTATGCTATCTCTTGCAA